GGGAGGGAGGGAGGGAAGGGTAGAAAAGAAAAAGTCACATCCCTCTATTGCAATTCACTGCTGTGGGGCTGTTTGTGAGTTCTTGTTAATCTCTTACTGTACCTCATTTAAACTGAATTTTGTTTTGTTTTGTTTTTTTGAGACAGGGTTTCTCTTGGCTTTGGAGGCTGTCCTGACACTCGCTCTGGAGACCAGGCTGGTCTCGAATTCACAAAGATCCACCTGCCTCTGCCTCCCGAGTGCTGGTATTAAAGGCGTGTGCCACCAACGCCTGGCTAAAACTTTAAAACTTTAATTATGTGTATATGTGAGGAAAACGTATGTGCACGTGAGTGGAGGTGACTTTGGAGGCCAGAGGCAAGGGATATCTTGTAATTGGAGTTATAGGCACCTGTTAAATACCTGATGTAGGTACTGGGAACTGAACTCAGGTCCTCTGCACTCTTAACCGCTGAGCCATTTCTCCAGCCTTGATTGATTGTGCCTCATTTGTAAATTAGACTTGTAAGGTGTGTGTGTGTGTGTGTGTGTGTGTGTGGTGTGTGTGTGTGTGTGGTGTGTGTGTGTATCTGTGAAAACAGCGTACAAACAGGGTTTAGCTCTGCCAGGCGTCACTGGCAGGTTGAACTACATCTCCTGAGCATTAGGAGATGGCGGTAGATTTCCTTTGTCCTTTTCTTCATCTCGTACTCCTGAGAGTCTGGCAAAAGCTGTGGCCATGAGCAGTTAGTTACAGTCTGTGCCTTGCTGAACCCTGGTGACCATGTGCCTGAGGAGGATCCAGTCATGGTATCTAGTCCTCAGTAGTTTCCAGGATATTGGTCAGGGTTGTGAGTGGGCCTGTGTTGTGAGTGGTGTTGTGAGTGTGCCTGTGTTGTGAGTGGTGTTGTGAGTGGTGTCGTGAGTGGGCCTGTGTTGTGAGTGGTGTTGTGAGTGGTGTCGTGAGTGGGCCTGTGTTGTGAGAGGGCCTGTGTTGTGAGAGGGATCAAAGCCTGCATGTGGTCTTCACAGTACCTTGAGTGGAAGGACAGACAGATGAGCAGTGGGTCCACCTCTCGTCTCCCCTCCCCCCCCACCCCCGCTGACCTTTAACTCCTCAACAAGTAGATCAGCTTCCCTTGCCACTGCCCTGAATCTTCTCTTGGAAGATTCCCAGGTCTCCTCCCTGCCTCTTCTTCTGCAGGCACAGCCCAGGTCTGATGGGGACGTGATGCCCACACTAGACATGGCCTTATTTGACTGGACTGACTATGAAGACTTAAAGCCAGAGGCGTGGCCCTCTGCAAAGAAGAAAGGTAAGTCCACTCTGCCACCCCACCCCATGTTGGGACTCCCCTCTGTTGAGGGAGGACATTTGTTGAGTCCAGGCTGACCCACAGGTGTTCAAGAGTGGACTGGAGAGCATCGGTCTAAGCTGGACCTGGCACTCACTGTGACAAGCAGTCTCCCAGGCTCTCTGCACACTAGTCAGGTCCCATGTCTCTTACAGGGAGACGGGCTGTGTGACCTGCCTTAGGGAAGAAAGCGAAGCAGAGAGAGACAGAGAATCTTGTCCCAGCCACACTGTGGGAGTAGCCATTGACACAGTGACACCCAAGTCTTGTGCTGAATCTGACCTCCAATTTCCTTGTCCCCAGAGAAGCACTGGAGTCACTTCACCAATGATGGTAACGAGACATCGCCAGCTGAGGGGGAACCATGTGACCATCACCAGGATTGCCTGCCAGGTACCCTGGTACCCCAATACCCACACTTGAGGCGCCAGGCTGGGAGGGAATGCCAGAAAGGCAAGTGGCCTTCTGGCATGGGAGTAAGCCTGAGGGCCACGACCCTTTATGCACAATAAATAGTAACTACAATAGCCACCAGTTTCCTGAGAGTCACTAATATACTAACTCCTAGAATGACATTAGAGCGAGAAGTGGGGTAAGGTGGGGGTGGAGACTGACTGACTTCATTTTCAGGCAAAGCAAAGCAATTAAGCTCCAGGGAGGCTAAGGTCCTTTTCCAAGATCACACTGCCTGGGCCAACTTGGTTCCTAAGCTTCTTACCCACAATCCACCCTACCCTGAGTCCTCTCATCATGGCACCACCTGGCTTTCTGGGGATGGGTTCAGTGACACCCTCTCCTGGTCAGCGGCCCTCCCCATCTTAGCAGGATGAATACAGGGGCCTGTTGTCTGACCAGAGTCTGAACCTCTGACCCTGTGGTGTCAGGTGAACCTTCCCAGAGCTGGAATCAGAGTTGGAATTAGAAACTGTGGTGGGGTAACACCTGTCCTCACAGAACTCAGGAAATGAAGGGAGGAGGATGAGGAGTTCAGGGTCGTCCTGGGGTGCATAGGGAGCTGAAGGCCAGACCCTGTCTTGGGGGATGCTTATGTGGGGCGTTGGTGGTGACGCTTATATTCAATGTGAGAGACCTCGGGCCTGATGTCATGCTGGCTCAAAAGGAGCTGTGGAGGAAAGCCTTGCTTGCCAGGGAAGCCACATGCTGGGCAGAAGTGGTGCCCCTGGTATCAGCCATGCTGCCCATTGTCTGGAGCTGCTGAGGCAGGGGGTGGTTGGGACATGGGCCAAGGTGGCCCCTGAAACTGCTCTCACAGCAGGAGACCAGTGACTTGGCTGATGTCCCTTACTGCTACCAAATAATGAGGGTTTTGGGAGACGGGGGCAGGGCGAGACTCAAGTGGCCATCTCCACGGCACCATATCAGCAGGATAGTCTGCAAGATAGTAGCCATTTTGTTATTGTGGAAGCGGGAAACCAGCCCAGACAGTCTGTCTGTCCCTACATCACTGTCTGCACTCTGAGTGTGAAGGAAAGACTGGGGTGGGGGCCAACAGGACGGTTACTTGGAAGCCAGGCCTGCAATGGGCAGATGCCTCAGGCCTGCCTACAATGTCCCTGCAGCCACCAAGGCTCGGGCACCCCTAGCTATTACAACCCCATCCCTGGGAGGTGAACCCCACACCACCTTTGAACCCCCCATGATCAATCAAATGGCCCATCTGGGGAGGCTTGGGTCTCTGCCACCTGCGTCTGGGGATTTCATCAATGACATCCAGCAGTGGTTCCGGCCCGGAGCCCTTGCACACCAGATGGCTTGCCAGGGCATGGCCTGCCACACATATGATGGATCTCCTGTCCAGTGGGACTCTGTGCAGGGCGGTTGGGAGGAGCCGCTCAGCTCGGCTGACCACATGTGTGCTTGCTATGTTGCCAGGAACTTGCTGCGACCTCCGGGAACATCTCTGCATGCCCCACAACCGCGGCCTCAACAACAAATGTTTCGATGACTGCATGTGTGTGGAAGGTCAGTCTCGACTCTGGGAGGGGGGAGCCCCGTCCCCGCCACGCTCTGTGATGCGTGGGGCAGGAGGTTTCCTGGCAGAGTGGATGTGATGGAAGGGCCTGGGGAGAGGGGATGGGTAGGAGAAGCCCCTGGGAGCCAAAGGCACCAGCAGGAACAGCTTTGCTGGGCTCTTCCAATCTGTCAGCCCGAGGCGTCTCCATTCCTGGCATCTTTTCTCAGATTTGTGTTTCTCACTTCTTGAAATACAAGCTGGTGTGATCACTCAGGATCAGGACGGGAGAAGGGAGGAGGCAGGAACGTATCTCTTTAAATAAGAGCCAACCTAAGAAGCCGGGCATGTTCTCTGCAGAATTCTAGATGGAAGGCTTTCCAAGTGAGACGGTGGGGAGTGGGGAGCTGGGTGGGTTTCCCAGCAGTCATAGGGAAGGGCTCAGTGGACTACTGGTTTAACTGCTCTGAGCACCCGCCTCAAACAGAAGGGTGTGCCCCGTGCACACACATGCCCATGGGTGCCTGCCCTGTGCTGATTCCTTTCTTTCCTGGAATCATGCTCACCCCCCCCCGGAAGGAAGATTTTATGATCCCCACTTCGTAAGTGGGGTGAGGTGATTTACTCCAACTCATATTTAGAAGAAGAGGGGCCATGGAAGAATACCTTGGAGGTAAAGTGCTTGTCTCAGCAAGAACAACGACAAGTCTGAGATAGAGCTGTGATGAGTCTCTTAAGCAGGCCTCAAACACAGGAGCTTCCTGCCTCAGCCTCTCAAGCAGCTGGAATTAAAGGGCTGGGGCATCATTGCCGGCTCTCTCTTTCCTTCTCTTTCTTCTTTGTTTTTTGTGTTTATTTTATTTTACCACAGGAAAAAAAGAAAGGAACAAGGAAGAGAGAGAAAAGGAGAGGCGAGGAGGGGAGAGGGAAAAGGAAGGAAATGAAAAAGAAGAGAAAAAGCTGCCTGTGGTGGTGTATGCTTGTCAACCCAGCACTTGAGAGCCCGAGGCAGGGCAATTGTGAGTTTGAGGCCGACTCAGGGTGTACAAATGACACCTTGCTTGGAAAACAACAAACCACAGCTAGCAATTGGCTCAGCATGTAGAGGGGCTTGCCCCAAAAGCCTGATGATGACCTATGTTCAATCCCCTGAACTGTGGTAAACATGGAAGGAGAGATCCAACCAAAATCATTCTCTGCCCTTCACCCGCACACCATGGAATATATGCACAGCCCCCATCACACATACACATCAATAAAAAAAAAGTAAAATAAGCCCCCCCAAAAAAAGGGGGATGAGGAAGGAATGAAGGAGGGAAGGAGAGAGAGAGACAGCAATGACGCCGTAGACCGTAATTCCAGCTGCCTGCGAGGCAGGAGGATCATGCATTTGAGACCTGCCTATTCGACTCAGCATAACTCTGCCTTAGAACTTTTAGCCCTGGCTGTCCTGGAACTCACTCAGTAGACCAGGCTGGCCTTGAACTCACAGAGATTCACTTGTCTTTTCCTCCCGAGTGCTGGGATTAAAGGCGTGAGCCACCGTGCACAATTGCGCAGAGCTCCTCTAAGAAGGACTTGTTAGGTGTGGGAGTGGACTATTTTAATCCCTGCACTCGGGAGGCAGAGGTAGGTGGATCTCTTGAGTTCAAGCCCAGCCTGGTCTACATAGTAAGATCCAGTCTCTAAATAAATAAATACATAAATCGATGAAGGTGTAGCTCAGTGATAAGAGTGTTTGCCAGGCCTTGAGTTCAACCCCCTACCCATGTGAAAGACAGGGCCGGGGATGGACTGCAGAAATGGCTCAGTGGTTAAGAGCATTCGTGGCCCTTGCCGAGGACCCAGGTTCAATTCCCCACACCAGAAAGTCATAACTCCAGTTCCAGGGGATCTAGCACCCTCTTCTGACCTTCACAGGCACCAAACATGCATGAGGTACACATATGTACAAGCAGACAAAACATTCTGACTCAAAATAAATCTTTTTGTTTGTTTGTTTTGAGACAGGGTTTCTCTGTGTAGTCCTGGCTGTCCTGGAACTCACTCTGTAGACCAGGCTGGCCTCAAAAATCAGAGATCCCCCTGCCTCTGCCTCCCGAGTGCTGGGATTACAGGCGTGCATCACCACTGCCCAGCTTCAAAGTAAATCTTTTTTTTTTTTTTTTTGGTTTTTCGAGACAGGGTTTCTCTGTGGCTTTGGAGTCTGTCCTGGACCTAGCTCTTGTAGACCAGGCTGGTTTCGAACTCACAGAGATCTGCCTGTCTCTGCCTCCCAAGTGTTGGGTCAAAATAAATCTTAAAGAAAAAAAATTTAAAAGAGAAATATGAAGGAAATAGGTAGAAAAATAATTCTACATCTGTCTTCAGATCTGCACTGCCGAAGTCCAAATATCATGATGGTTCCCATAACTTAGCATCAATAAACAGCCACACGTGGCCACCTGGGTGCAGCTGTCACCTCCACAGACTTCCCTCGTTTCAATATGATCTTTATGTATTTATGCAGTATTTATTTTGGCACACACCCCTGAGAGATAAGCACCCTTCTAAAAACAAGGTGTGGAAATTGCCGAGCCAAGCGATATTCAACCTGCATTCCAGAGGGCAGATACCTCCTCTCTCTGCTGTGTGAACCTGAGCCACACACAAAGTCTAGTTCACAGTAATAAAAGAGCCTGCGCCTTCTCCACTCCCCTGTTACATTCTGGTGAAATGAGACAAGGAGAAACAAATCCAGAGATAAGCTGTCTCTGGAGCCAGGCACGGTGGCCCACACCTGTGATCTCAGCACTCCAGGGGTAGAGAGATAGGAGACTCATGGAGTTCAAGGTTATCCTCAGTTACATAGGGAGTTCCATCTGGGGCAGCCTGGGCTATAGAGGGTCTTGTATCCGTCACCCATCCACGTCCCAAAAAAGGAAAAATGGCAAGAAAAAGTCCTAGGAAAGTCACAAGGGCAGTAAAGAAAGTCTGAAAGGTTGGTGGGTGTTTCCACAGGATGTTATATAGAGACCTTAGGAAAAGAGGAAAGAGTTAATGATGGAGCTTGAAAGAGACCCTGAGGGGTTCCCATAGGAGGCAGAAAGTAAGGGCAGGGACCTTGGGCAGGAACAGCCTGGCTTGGCATATAGTGACACCTGGAGAAGGTTATAAAGGAGATGAGAGAAGCTTCAAGAAGAACCCTGCTGACTTTGTTGCCCTCATTGGATTTTGTTTCATTAGTGACTGGAAGCAATGTCCACGCTGCAGCAGAAGCATCACATGGTCTAGCCAGTAATGTCCACACTAAAGCAGAGGAGTCATGTGGTCTCTGAGGCTGAGGATGAGGCTCAGCTTAGCTGGCCTAGCATGGGTTCTATTGCCTGTGTAAAGGGGTATGGTGGTGCGTGAATACAGTCTCAACACTTGGGAGGTGGAGACAGGGGATTGTCAGCTTAGCTGGCCTAGCATGGGTTCTATTGCCTGTGTAAAGGGGTATGGCAGTGCGTGAATACAGCCTCAACACTTGGGAGGTGGAGACAGGGGATTGGGAGTTCAAAGCCATTCTCAGTTGGCTAGTCTAGGATGCATGAGACCATGTGTTCCCCTCTGAAAATTGCAGGACTGGGACAGTTGAGGACAGGGAGCAGCCTGGAAGGTTAGAGAAGGTAGAGACCGACAGAGCAGAGACTCTGGGATTTGCATGGGCTTTTGAACCACAAAGCCCATACCCATTGCACCATTCCTCCAACAAGGCCACACCTCCTAATCCTTTCAAATAGTGGCACCCACTGGTGTCTAGCAGCTAGGGGCTATTTTTATTCAAACTACCACAATCTGTATCTAAAATTTTGCACACAAACCCAAAATTTAATAAAACATAATTGTAATACCTTAAAAAAAAAAGTGGACTGGCTGGAGAGATGGCTCCGGGTTTAAGAGCACTGGCTGG